GGTACAGCGGCTGAGGGTTTAGGGTTCAGGGTACAGGGGCTTAGGGTTTAGGGTTTAGGGTACAGGGGCTTAGGGTTTAGGGCTTAGGGTTTAGGGTGCAGATACTAGGGGTTCTTCAGAAGCCGTGAATCCGAAGTTTCGGGGATCTCATAGGCCCTTCTCGCCCTTCATGTGCTTTATACAACCATAGCACGACAGCTCCCCAAAACCCGAGACTTTCAATCATGAAGGGCCAAAAACAGATCGGGGTCGAAGAGCTAAAAATCCCTCGGGGTCCGAGTTGCATCCTTCGAACCCTAAACCCTAATCCCTAAGCCCTTATAGTTCCTTTAGAGGAACCCTAAATGCTAAACTCTAAGCCCTTTATAGTTCCTTTAAAGGAGCCCCCGAGGTCTTCTGGTGGAAGTACTTCCTCTGCACGGACATCCGGGTCTTCCCCGAAGCCCGGAAGTTCCACCCGGCGGAAGCCATCGCCCGCTGGAGCGTGCAAGTGGACGACAAGGGGAGGCCCTACTTCAAGGTCACGGCCCTTGGGAAGGACCAAATTGGGGGGGGAGGTTCCGAAGATAGGGGGACCCGAATATGGCACCCCACATGGTAGCATCCTTATTATAAGGACCCCATATTTTCGGAAACTCCCCAATGCCGCAACCCCAAACCCTGAACCAGCTCTAAAACCGGAATCCTCAAACCTCTGGGACCCCGAAGCCCCAAAACCGTTCTGGTTGAGGGTTGAAGGCTCCAGGACCAGAAGCGAGGCGTCATATCTGCAGCAGCTGCTTGAAGTCGATCTCCCTAGAAGGATCTTGCGGTTCAAAACTTTGTAAGGGCCTAAAAACCCGGAGCAAAGGAGGAGTCGGCCCTTTTGGCTTTAGCGTCTTGGGCTTTGGGCTCGGGGATCCCAAACCAGCCCCCTTAACCACTCTGAAACCCAGAGGGTTTTGGCTCCAGAGTCTGAAGTACTGAGAGCTCGGTTTCGGAGCTTCGGGGGTTTTATTTTGGGTTCCAGGGGCTTTGGGGGGTTTGAGGCTGAATGCTGGCTTTCGGACTCAGAGTTTCGCGGGGGGGGGGGGGGGGGGGNNTAAACCCTAAACCCTGAACCATTACTATCATAGGTGTTAAGCTTCTTCTTTCTGTTTTGAATTGCCGTTATCAGCATCACTAACTGGCATTCTGTTAACATTACCTATTTTATCGTCCACTTGCTAGGACAACTTTCGTACTTTTCGTAAAATACAGGGGAATCTAAATCCATGAGGCCATAAAAATGGGTCGCGAGGTGCTGTTTCTTAATCCTCAAAAGAGAACTGAGAGGACAACGTGGTGTGGATCAACGAGCGCACGCCGCCGCAGCCCCCGGCCTCGGGTCATCGGTGGCCCTCGCCCGCGCTGCCGGCGATGTGCGGGGCTCGGGAGGGTTTCCTTTGCGAAGGGAGGTTGAGGGTTTGGGGTTTAGGGGAGCTTGGGAGGAGTGTTGGAGGGTATTGCAGCTTTTATTGTTTACAAAAACTCAAAACCATCCGAAACTTGGGCCCTAAACCCAATAAGCTGAAGATTACAAGGTTCAGGGCCCTTTTTGGAACGGTTCAAGATGCAATGCTTCGAGCCTAGTAGCTGCTCCCTCTCAATATGTGTATAGGTTTTTTAGTTCAGGGTTTAGGGTTTCGGAAGCTTCAGAAAGCAGCGATCTAGCAATGTGCCCTATAGCTGATGGGATCCGACTATGAAGGCCGCCATTTTTAACACAGGAGCCGCTTCGTACCGTAGCGGTAAACGTCGTGAAGCTAGATCCTCTAGCCAAATGGCCAGAACCTGAAACAATAAGCCCTCCCCCCCGGGAGGTATAAAGCTAAAAGCAGCCGTAGAGCGACATCGCCACAACTTAACCCAAACCCGAAACCCCAAAACCC